AATCAGGTTAGAGAAGTGCGGTTAATACGATTAGATCAAAACTGATAAATGACTGACTGAGTTAATTGACTAAATTCATTCGTTTATCACACGTATTAATCCACCAATACAATACTGTTTGTTAATACAGCACAATCTTTACGGATAATCAACGCATTGATCCATTTTACTGATGATTTCTTGATCAGTCATCCAACAATTAGAAAACACTCACTTGAGAGGAACGATGAACCGCAGCCGCTTCGATAGCTTTCTGGATTGGTTCTTGAGTGAAGTAATCGCGGATAATTTTCGACTCTTCTGGACGTCCTTCAGATTGCTCCAAATGACTCGCAACTCTATTCACCGATATGATTACTTGCTCCAGTGCTGCAATTGGACTCAATTAGACAATCGCTTCGTGCTTTCATAGGACAACAAAATCTACATTCCATTATGTAATGCAAATTACCAGTAGATGAAGTCGAATTTCTGCATGATGAGGTAATGGAAATTTCGAGGATATTGCAATGAAAACAACTGCTTCAAAGTGATCTCAAAATATCAAATCACAATTTGAAAGTGGAGCAAATCAAAGCAAGACACTAGTCTCATCAAGCTCATCAGCCACAACTACCACTGAAGGAGTTGATGATCACCAACGTGAATAAGTTTTGTTGGATAATCAAAAATGGAACAAGACAGCGCACAGCAATTGGACACAACAAGACGAATAAGTTATCAGAGTGGATGGTTGTTGGCGAATGCATGAAGAAATGATCAAATGAACAAAACGAGCATTCGGATGATCCAATTGGAATTAATAGGGCTTTAGGACAACTGAAACGCACCAATCATGCACGATGTGACTATAAGTGCTATCAGCTTGAAAAGCTTCTCAAATGGACTCAAAAAAAAAAAGGAAAAAGGATCCAATTCACTACTCACAGAATCTCAATTTCATCAAGAAAATCTAATCAACAATTTTTCCTCATGACCAACATCAGGAGAATTGAATAACCAAACCACAAACAAATTGAAGTGCAATACAAAAAGATGCATAAATGAATTTCGTGATATACTGCAAATAAACTGATTAAATGGTCGTCGTATTCCCTGAAACGAGAGTGTT